CCCACCCCTCCCGAAAAGGCAACTGATCTCGCCGCTATTCCCCAAGTTGTGGGCACGGAAGCCCAAGGACCTACGGCTGGTTTGGAGAATAGGCGGCTGGGCATGAGTTGCAACGTGCTTGCTGCGACTAGTGTTGAAGGGCAACCCTGCCTCTAAGCACAACTAAGCTCCCTTTACTGTATGCATTAACGGTAGATAATTGCTGGACACCTATTTGCTCACGTGGGGGCCAAGTATAATACAATTGTCTACAGTATTAGTGCATGCGGCAAGTGGGGCTTGTTCGTGCTTGCATGTGGTGTCGCCTCGGAGCGCAAGTTGCAGCACAGTGCGTTGCAATGTATTAACGGCAGGCCGCCTCCTCTCACAACCAGTCCCAGGACCTCGGGCCGGTGTGCCCAGTGTGCCTAAAAACCCAAGAGGATGCCAGCTGCATTTTTGAAGAAATCTTTTCCTATGGCTTTTCCAGCGACGGTTCTCAAAAGGGTCTCCCTGCATTAACATCGCAGCAAGGGATGACTGCTAGATGCAGCTTCTATTATCCGCTGCACACCCACTAGCTTATTTAGGTAGGCGTCGTGCTTCCACATTTGTTATTTCGCTCCCTCCCTCACACAGTTGTTGAATATGTTTCATGACGGATTTCTTCCCATACGATACAAACAGCTCCTTTAATAGATTGCTTGTTCTGGTCAAGTCCCGATCGTGCCTGCGCGTGGGAGTACTGCATAGGAATGCCATGTTGGAGCTGCTTTGTAGAAAGCTCCAATGTTGATGCAGCAGTTTCCTGTTTCCCTGTAGTGTTCCATTGATAAAATATATTATTTCGAAGCCTCCAGGAGCTGCAGTTGTTGGCACTCCTAAGCATTGTACCGCATCTCCCACCTCAAGTTCCGCGCCACCGAAGCTGCATTTTTTCGTCGGGAGTATGCCCAGGATGCCCTGCTCATCCCGTAGCGCATCAACCATGCAATTGCTCATCTTACGGGGACCATCGCCTTCGCACGATCTATGCCCTTCAGCTTCAAGGAGATCTTGTCAGCTAGACTCCGGTCATATGATCCCCATATAAAGCCAGAAAAATGAACAAGGAAGTGGCGGCCAACAAGGTGCAAGTAACACCTCGGTGGCCGTGGCCTTGTGCCGGCACAGCGTAGTGCACTGCTTGGCGCATCAGAGCCGTGTTTCCGTTTTATTTTTCGCCCTTGACGCGAATCATCGACCAACGCTGTGAGAGTAAGCCAGGGGTTCCCCGAAGTGTGGATGCGAGTTAGGGACCACCTCACCTGTACAGCGCGTTATACAGGTTATAACAGAAGCAGCCTTACCGTTGATTCAGGTATGTGCAAATACTCTGGGTTGGGTTGGGTTCGGAAAGGAAGGCAATATTTCCCTCGGGCAATGTTGGGGGCTAATGGCATTGCTGAGTTCATGAGCCGTGGGTCAACGCCCCAACGCACGTGCCCGCTGACTTTCCTTCCCTTGTAGAAATTTTTAGGGGCGTCCTCAGAACATTTGGCCATTAACTGACAGAAGAACACAGAGGTCGGAAGGAATGGAACAGCAGTTTAATTAGCGACGGCAAAAACTGGCACCTCTATGAGGATTGTCACTCGAAACCAAGAATTCTCCTCGACAACCCGAATAAACGTCTCCGTAGACTTCCTATCACTGAGCAAGCAAGCTGCCTGTATGCCTAGGAAGTGCCAGCCATCCTGGGCCACTACGCCTATCTGTCGCCATTCCCTGGCCTCCTGAAGCAACTACACATCTTCACACCGGAGACACTATGAGCAGGCCTGTTTCCTACTGCGTTGGTCCACATAACCCAAAACAAGGCTGGCAATCCAGAGAGCTCGTGCTGAACCGTGTGTAAAAGTTCCACCAGTTTTTGAGGGCCTGTGCTGCATCATCTGGGTGCAGCCAACAGCTGGGGAACCGAAACCGCATACCAGTCTCCCTGTGACAATTTTTTGTAGATAACACAATTACAATTGGGCCACTGGCCCAACAGCATGGCTTGACAGGAGGATGTAAACTTGCAATATAAGACGCACGCTACGTTGAGGACGCCTAACCAACAAGCATCCCACGTTGCCTGAATAGGGAGGAGGTGGAGCTACTGAACATGGAGTTGGGCAGCCTGCAGCTGCGGTAAGTATTTGGTGTGCAAACTCCTTCCGCTCGTCAGCGTCGTACGTAGTTCCGTACGACGCTGACGAGTTACAGCTACAAGTCTGCTGCTGCCAATGCATATGCCGACACTGAGATCCATCACTCGCCGGTAGTGAACATTCCACATTCCGACCCCAGCAGGCTAGGCCAAAACTGATACTGAAACGTTCCCAAATTATTTAATCGCTTCAACGACCGTTCCGGTGGGTAAAACTTCACTGTTTCGTGATATCTGTACGTTTCCCGAATGTGTCGAACGACAGATCCCTTTTAGACCTACCACCTCGCAGATTTGCTTTTCTGATGCGGCATGCCTTCACGAACGAATAAGTATAACAACAGCGGCGACCTCATTGACATATCAGCCGCTTTTGCGCGCGTAGCAAGATGCAGGGATGTAGTGCACAGTGCAGCCAACTCGAAGGCCTACACTCATTCCTCTTTACTCTTTGGCTTATTGATGCAGTGAGCCACATAGTATACTCCCACATGGGGGGGCAATGCAGGCGAAGAATATATGGTCGTTTTGCTTCGAAGTGTTTCGTGACAAGCAAAACGCCGGCCATTGCGCGCAAGCCCGTTAAGCTCTGCCCAGACCGTCCAAACACCTATGCCCGTTGTTCACAGGGTCCAATTGCTTTATAGAAGTCGTGAAGAGAGGTAAATCACATGAATTGGAAGATCCCTAACGCATGCGCATAAAACGATCGCGTATTACTGTGGACTCCCCTCTAGATCCTACTTGACGTTGCGCCGTGCATCCGCGGTAAAGCATGTCAGCGCCTGCATCGTAGACAGTCACCAGCTCACCAATCCGCAGAGGGGTCGGCTCCTACGTAAGTGCTGTCCGTTAACTGGTGGCCTCCAATAGGTATGTTTGCCCTCTGTCTGTCCTCGTCTGTACCCTGTTGAATGGCGCCTTCCCGCTTGAGGCCATGCATCGGGCCAGAAGCCCCAGTCAAAAGTTGGGAAAGCCCTGACTGGGGCCATAGCGACTGACCACCCTGCCCAAAGAGGCTGTACTCTCTATAAGACCATCGCACATTTGCCAAGGTTCCTGCTGCGTCACCCCATGACTGGCGGGGAACTGGATGAGGAACACCTGCAGGACCGTGGGTGAAGGAAACCTGCCACTTTGCCGATCTATTTGCCGAAAAGCCAGCAGTAGTACCTTCCGAACCCTCTAGAACGTCATGGGAAGCGGATTTCCCTTCGGACGAAGCACTCCAAGAGAGCGTCGCGGGTGTAGGCTGGATATCCTGTCCTCCAGAGAGCATCGAAGGCTCTGGAGAGGCGAGTTTTGGGCCGGAAAATGCTGGCGAAGGGGCCTGCAAGTTGTGGCCTCTAAAGTCCATGAACGGTGCACGCGCAGAATAAGAAGCTGGCGCAGCACCTTGCAGGGGTTGTTCACGAGGAAGCCAGTTTAAAAGCGGCCGTTGAAGCAGTGCCCGTGGCCCACCAACTGCCTGATGGCTCTGGACAGCCGGCGGAACTGTGAGGGTGCGTACATGAGGAAGCTCCAACGGCCTGCCTTGAAAATCCTGTGACGAGACGTGCACCCCAGGCCTCAAGAGTGGTGACGACGGAGGGAGCGCCTCGAGGGTTCCACCACTCTGTAAGGAAGAAGCAGGTGCCGCAGGATCCTGGTAGCCGAGTAACCGTTCTGAGGCTTGAGAGCGGGGTGAAACGACTGGATGAGTCATTATCTTCTGGACTTTTATTGCTGTTGAGCCCGGGAATGCAAGAGAAGGCCGGGTCCCTGGAATTAATCCTCCCTGGTGCTGTAAGTGTGGTCGCAGCCCATAAGGCTGCACATGCGAAGGAGATTCAATCTGTTGCTGTGCCGTGTCTTTTTGCACTTGTGGTGGGATACCGCCAGATCTGCGGACAGCTTCAGCGATTTCCTCCACTGAGCTCTGCAGAGGGGGTAACGGCTGGCCGGCCATCTGATGGTGGTGCTGCCCGAGGAGTGGATTCACTCCCAGGCGTTCCTGGATCAGTACTATGTAGAATCTTAGTGAGCCATCCCTAGCGATGTAACTGGAGTGAACCCGGTACAGGGCTTTAAGAACACGTAGCTGCCGTTCGCACCCAGTCCCTGCCAACCTTTGTGGGCTTTCCGCAGCCCTTAAGAGCTCTCCCAGGACAAGCCCACAGAAATTTTCCGTCATTTCTGCTGTTCGCAAGATAGCTGTCATCTTCGTCCTATACTTAATATTGCGAGGCCTCTCGGTAAATGGTCGAGGTTCCTTAAGCCTATCTATCACCTGTATCAGTTCGCAAATCGCTGTGCGATGCTCTTCAAGCTTGCCCTCGTACCCGCCGTATTCTAAGGCTTCTAACCCCAACGCCATAAGAGCATCTCCCACCATTAGTCGGAAAGGTTCTAGATGCTCCTGAACGAGGGAAATTGCCCCCAAATCGAGTGCCAGCAACCTAAGCACTTCATACGTAAGGCGCAGGCCTTCACTCGCATTCAGCGTCGGCAGCAAGGATCGGCACAACGATGCATCATTCGCCATCCGCTGGAGCAGGTTCACAACCTGTTGCTCAACATGTGGAGGTAGGCGTCTTTGTTTCCATAGTTCCAGGAGATTTCCATGAAGCTGTCCCTCAGGTTCCGCACCGAAGTCTCCTCTAGCTTCCAGTCCCCCAACTGCCCCACCAACACATGGTTCTGTGGATCCTCCCCCTACGTCACCTGACATACCCTTGCCCACATCGTATTGTAAAGCACTCTCAACACCAACTGAAGAGTTCCTGTGTTGCAGTGGCTCTTTGGAAATCCCTACTGCTGGTGTAGAAATACCAGGCCTCCTCGGAGAACGGTGTTGACTGGGTTGTCCAAAGGTGCCAGAAGCCGTTGTCGATGGCAGCCGTTGTCTTGCAGCCCTTGCCTGCTCCTCATAGCCTTTGAACCCTCGTGTTGCGTCGCCTTCTCCGGAGGTTACTTTGAAGCCTCCAGCCTGCAACGCCTGCACCTCCTCTTCATCGGGATTTGTATCCCCGTCGCATGGTCTATCGCTCCCACCCGCTAGGGATCTGATCGACCCAACCACTTGACGCCTCTCCCTCTCAAAGTTAAAGCAACGCAACACAAGGTAGGTGGTCGCCAAAGAGGTAAAAGTTAAGCCCAGAAGATAGATCCAAAGGGGATAGGAGTCCCTGTTGTTGTGGGGGCGCCGTTCACAAAGTGAACCGCAGTCGATCATAGATTTCCGTGCTGACACTGAGCCGATCCCCCATTCAATGCTGCCAACAGGCAACAAACCAACGTCGATGTTTGGACGTCCCTGCGATTCCATTTGACCTGAACAAACCTCTCACGTGCGCGGAACCAGAAGAGCGGAACCAGAAGCTCTAATCTTATTCCCCCTGTTCCGCTGTTCCGCCGCTACATGCGGTTTGGAGAGCAAACTGGCATTATTTTGGAGCGCATCTAGTAATTCCCGGCGTTGCTCATCACATGCGTACTTGAGCAACACATCGACGCGATGAACTGAAAAAACACTCTGTCTCTGGATCGTGTTATCTCATTAGTGTGCCCTGGGAGGGGTGTGCGGTTGTTACTTTGCAAAGACAAAGGGACTTGTCACAGCAACTGCCTGCCACCAAAAGCAATGCGCTACTGCCTCGGTCGATGCATTGCCGCCTCACACGAGAAGACCCACGAAAACGCAACCCCATGTTTATAAAAATAGAACGAAATGTTAACTGGCGGGTTGCAGATCCTAAATTCCTTCGGGGTCAGCGGACCACTTCTCGGCGAAGATAATGCAAATAATGCTCTCCAATCTCCGGCGTCATTGGCTGACCAGGGCGCCAACGGATGCGGTTGAGTGACCCTTTGCAAGGCCTGGCAAGCAAATCGAATTCTTGTACATGAAAAATGTATTCTAGTTCTGTCGAAGCACTGGTGTGCTCTAGTTCTCTTGGACTTGTCTTTGACGCTGCGTTGCCACAGCCTGTTGCAAAATGATGTGTGCTGCGTCTGAAGTTGGCGTCGTTGCTTTTCCTTGCTTCTAAGCTAGTGCCAATCAAGTGTTAAAATATTGTCTATGGTTTCTGAGATCGCCAAAAGGGGGGGGTTGGATTGTTTTTATTTGGGCTTGCCGTGCAGCAAGAGGCAGGCGATGCACAAGTGTGTGCTGCTACACATCACAGGCCTGTTCTATAACGAGAGTCCTCTGCCTGCGATCCAGTTAAAACGCTTAAGGCAAGAGCAGCTGATATCTCCCCAGTTTCCAGGAATCCTGTGCGCAGAGCCGCATGGGCCTGGGGTAGTGAGGAGAGAGGGCGGTATTTCATGAGTTGAAGCACACCTTAAAGCTCATGCTACGGGGCCATCCCATTTGCAAGCGTGTTCAAGTCCATTCTGATGCATGCACTAACACGGTTGGCAGTTGTTAAGATATCAAGGCCACTCTCTAATTGGGCACCTTGTGCCAAGTTAGAAAATGGTCGTAGACCAACTTGGGGCAGGCCTTGCCAAAGAAGACGAGGCCCGCATAAAGCGGGCTGCATGGGTTGCATACACGAGTCTCCACCTACTGCCTTACGAGATAACGGTGTTAGATGTAGCCGTTCACCGCCCACCAAATCTTCTTGCGGTAGCAGGAATCTTATTCTGCAGGACATAGGAGCGATAAGCGGGGGCCAGTGGCTTTGCGTGCGTGGCGAAAATGCCGCAAAAAGCATGTAGAAATAGCCACGCTCAGTTTCAAAATAATTCCTACTAATATCTATGGTACATGCTCCTCTGCAAATAAAAGACGGGAGAGGTGCAGTTTATACGCGAGAGAGTTGGGTAGTTTGGAAGCAAGGAGTGGTCCTTGTACGCGTTTTGCTTGTTTGACACCACCCGGCGTGAAAAAATGAACTTGATGGCACACCCCACGTGCTAAAGGATAAAGATCGAAAATTCCCTGCTCATTTCTGGGATGCAATGCAGCCGCATATTCAGGGTACTAGCCGATGTGAGACTGCAATTAAGCTGTATCGGCCTGAATTTGGAGTGGCGTAGCGCACCGGATGGACAGGTGTGTCTAGTATCTGCGCGGAATTTTTGAGAATTTTTACCTCGGGAAACGAAGCAATTTGCACGAACAGATCTGCTGCGCCCACCGTTGAAGATCCTCGGGTATCATGTAGTAGCAGTCAAGGAAGGATATCCGTTGCTTTTGCCTACCGACAGGTGACTGATCCTTCAATAGCTCTCCTCCAATATGGTTTTCAGCACGCAACACGGTGAGTAGGCTGGCAAGCCGAACTGGCCTTCTTCACATCGACGTCAACGGCGTCTCATACTTCATCGTGGTGAGCAATGCTCGCAGCTACCACGCTACCACAACTTAGCGGTTCTATGAATACCTATCTAGGTGTACACTCGATGAATTCACGCTACACTAAGAGCACAACCTTTTTCCTAAAGGAGTAAGAGTAATAATTCTTCTGCACATGCGAGTCAGTACCTCGACTACAGTGCCAACCAGGCAGCCAACCACACACTCTGAGTAGCCTTCGAGCACACTTAGCCTGATGGCCTTATTTCCTGTTTGAAGTGGGTTGAATTGTTCTTAATAATATTTTATTTGTACTCGCTGCCGGATAGACCTCTACCGATCCAATTTGAGTACCACTGTACGGCATGTGCACTACACTCAGCCAACTATGCCATTTGGGCAGGCAGCGGATAACACGCAAGTGCATTTTTTACAATATTTCAGCCTTTTTATGCAATAAAGGCTGTATCGGCCTGAATTTCGAGTATTGCAACCTAAATCACATGGGTTCGAAAATTACAGTGCAGCGTTCAGCGTCATGCCGGCTCGTGCACAGATACCGCCACATCAAATACAGTCTGCAGTGCAGTGGATGCTGCGCCACTCACTGTGATTTCTGCGCCAGCAGGCTGGTCTGCTAGCGCCTGCAAACTAATGAATTTGCAATGCACGTAAGCGCCTTCGCCGGTTCACTTCGCTTGCTGGTCGAGCTGCTCCCACCTTCGACGGGCTAATCTAACGGCACGTGCAAGTTGCCTTCAAGGCACGGAAAATGTGAACGCTGCATATCGACAAGATGATGAAGGCGAACCACCAATGACGAGTGGGAGCACTTGACGGTGCAACCTGTGAAGAAAGGATTCACACCGTGTCACACTCCGTGAGGTTAAAGCCATTGGGTGGGTGTTTGAGTTACGTTCGCCGCACTCCGCCACTGTACAGTGGTTCCGCCCTGCACAGAAAGAATAATAGCCCACTATGGCGAATACACCTCTGATTTTTGAAGAGAGATCCCCTCTAGTCTGACGCCCTGTCTGGGAAGCTTGACTAGCATACTGCCGTTCTGACTGTTCACCTTCTGTATGCCAAGGAGTGTTTTCTCCTTCGGCTCCGTATCGCAGCTTTGTGTCCCTAGTAGAGGAATGGCGAAAAGAGCAAGTTGAGGCCTAGGAGTAGGAAACCTGTGCCGTCCGGCCAGAGTAACAACATCTAAACCGTGTTCAAGAACGGATAAATGCAGCAAGGACACGTAAACGGCAGCAAACGGCAGCGCCATCAAACCGAACACGGATGGGAACGACCATCGTTATCAATGCATCCGTGCTTTTTATGAAACCCACGGGCGTCAGTCTAGGCTTCCTTGTGCTGTCCTGTGTATCTAAGAGGAGGACCTATACAGTGCTGTTGTGGGAGCGAAGACGGAATCTGCTGCACTAGGCGAGTTTGATTGCTCCTCGCATATTGCGATTGGGGAGGAAGTTCCGGAAGAGCACGCTGCATTTGTTGTGGGCCAGGCTGCCAGGTTGTATACTATGAAAGCGCTGGAACTATCAATTGAAGTGCTGCTTGCAGCGCGGAAAATGGTATGAGCTTCCACTCCACGGGAAGGCTGGAATTCCGTAGAAAATGCTTCACCGCGTTGGTTGATTGTGCTAGCCACGTGGTTACATATGCAAAAGGGAGCGCTTGTTCGTGGCCAATGGCTGACAAATGTGAGTTGTTCTGGTGTTTCCGCTTCAGGAGGAGAAGGCAGATCAACTGCTTCCCAAACAGCTACACAAATCTCCTACAGCAATATCTTCAGCTATGGATGCAACTGCTCCGTTAGGGCTCGCTGCTGAGGGACAAGGTGGAGCTGTCTGCCGATGAGTTTTTGACGCCAAAAAAACTAGTATTTGGCAGACGTGCTCATCCTAGTATGACTAAAATGGACATTAGACAGTGGGTTAAGAACGAGTAGCTGTTTTTGTGAGGCATGCTCTTGCCCACGACCACCTTCAAGTTGGGCAGTCCAGATAGGACGAGCAAACATACCTCCACTGTCGTGCTGCCGGTTCGAATTAGAGGCAGCAAAGAGCAGCCCTACTGTGAAGTCGAGCTGCGTGAGACGGCAAAGCAACCG